AAGTAAATAGCCTCCAATTAAAATAAATAAATTTATATTTTAAAAAATAATTTAAAAAAATCAAAAGGAACAGCTAATTTATACACAGAAAAGTCACTCCAAGTTACAATTATTCAATAAGTGGTCAGACAATGAAACTTTCATTTCTCTTCTTTTCCCATAGGCATTGATTTCTCTCCCTTGGCCACATCTGTTTCTTGTAGTTAGAGATAACCAGCATCATCAGTTCTTCATTTTATAAACAAACGCTGCTAGTACAGTTTCAACTTGAATGACAACCCACCCACTAGAAACTCAGCTTCAAGAAATTTAAGTATTGGAAACATGCTTAAGAGATGGGAAATAAAAAAAAATTACTCTCTCTCTATATATATATACATATATATATGCACATAATGTATGTGTGTATTTGTGTGTGTGTAAAAGAGTCTGAATCAAGTCTGAATCTTAAATCCTTGCTCATATTGTACCCCAAGTTTAATAAGTATCTAGCTATGAGAGACACAGGTGTCTTTCAGATACTATGTTATTTGTATATAAAAGGATGAAAAAAACTCAAGTAATTTATAATTCTAATAAGATTAACCTGGTTTCATAACCACAGAAGAACAAAAACAGAAAAAAAATAGAACTGAAAGGATTCCCACAGGCAGGCACACAGACAGTGGCAAGACCAAAGTGCTTTCTGGTTCTATTTTAAACTAACAGAGTAACTTGAGGCCAGTCACTCAGACTCTGGGTATTCATTTGGATGACATGATGTCAAGGTTTCTACTCCATTCTAAAGTTCTATGGATTTGGTTTTAGAAACAGTTGATAATCTGGTGACAGGGCTCCCTAGGTGGCTCAGTGGCAAAGAATCTGCCTGCCAATGCAGAAGATGCAGGGACTCAAGTTCAATCCCTGGGTTGGGAAGATCCGCTGGAGGAGAAAATGGCAACCTACTACAGTGTTCTTACCTGGAGAACCCCATGGACAGAGGAGCCTGGCAAGCTACAGTCCATAGGGTTGCAGAGTCAGACACAATTAAAGCAACTTAGCACACAGGCACATAAGGGATAAGAGTTAAGTCGCTCAATCGTATCTGACTCTTTGAGACCCCGTGGCCTGTAGCCCGCCAGGCTCCTCGGTCCATGGGATTCTCCAGGCAAGAATACTGGAGTGGGTTGCCATTTCCTCCTCCAGGGGTTCTTCCTGACCCAGGGATCGAACCTGGGTCTCCCACATTGCAGGCAGATTCCTTACCACCAGGGAAGCCCTTAGCACACAGGCACATAGCTGAGAAATAACTTTTCCTTCCCCCTCTTAAGGCTCCCTGGCTGGGTCTGAAAAGTAAATTGACAAAGACAGGTTAACAAGAGAAAAGCATTTATTGAATCATTAAAATTTTGTTAAAAGCATTTAATTAAATTTTATTAAACTTTCACACATACATGGGAACCCTCACAAAAAGAAGCCCCAAAGAATTGACCAGAGGAGAGAAGTTTCATAACTTTTAGACCAAGAAACAATAAATTTGTGAAGAATTTGACAAGACAGGGATTTGGGCTAGGGGTAGTAGATAGTGAAAAAGTGGTTAGAAAGCTAAAGGTTAGCTTAACAAAAGTTTGTCTATACACATTTTCCTTCTTCCTGGTAAAGGAAGGGTACCTATCACAGGGGAGATTTATCACCTGCTCTCAGGGAAGACGGGTGATACAGGGGGAGGGGAGATCAGAGAAAACTTATTGATCCTACTGTTTCCTCAACCCCTTCAGTTTAAGATATTCAAGATGCCAAGGTACAGTATTTTGAGGGTGACGTGTCCTGAATCCTGCCAAAGGATTTTATTGTATGAATCATTGTATATAAAATTGTCTTTCACACTGCATACATAAAAAGATCACTGGTCTGGTTATACAGTTCTCAAAAATCTTCGAGGCAGGTGGTGTGTCCCCTCCTGGCACTGAAAGCTGCAGATGGAGAACTCAGTTTGATCAATCAGATTAGTAACTGAATGTGGAGGGAGGGGATGGAGCTATGGTAGAAGAGCTACAACTTCTTATTTTTTCTCGTCCCATCTCCTTACCAAAGACACGCAGCAGCAGGGCTGACAAGAAGGGGGAAAACTAGGAAGATACTTAGAAATCTATAGCAATGTAGATTGACTATTTTTGGAAAACAGAAGAGAAGGATCTATGGTGGCTTCTAGATTTCTTGTCAGAGTGAGTCACTGGTCTTATTTCAAACTTGGATTCAAGATGAACATAATACTACTTTTGAGGTTACAGTGGCTCAGAAAGTAAAGAGCCGGCCTGCAATGCAGCAGACCCAGGTTTGATCCCTGGATTGGGAAGATCCTCTGGAGAAGGGAAGGAAATGGAACTCCACTCCAATACTCTTTTCTGGAAAATCCCATGGACAGAGAAGCCTGAAGGGATATAGTCCATGGGGTGGCAGAGTCAGGCATGACTGAGCAGCTTACACTTTAACTTCCTTTCACCAAATCCTTTCTATCCCTGATCATCGTGTTTCAGTTTGTAAGTAGACTGTGTCTTCATGGGCATCAAGGTCCTCACTAACTGGCCTCTGTAATCCTGGAGTTTGAGGTTTATCAATTTTTCTAGCCACACTCTTTCTTAGGGGCTCTTTTCTTTGCATTTTTTTATTGTATTTTAGCCAAATCTCTATTACCACTTATCACATTGAATTGTAATTGGAAGAGTTTGCCTACCTATCTCCTTGGAACTGGGAGCACCTCAGTGAGCACAGTGTTACATTCATCTTTGTACTTCCCACACTTGCCACTGAGATGAAATTAAAGAATAGGATTAATGGCCATCTACACAAAATAAATAAATAACACTAGCAAAAAAAAAGAAAAGAAAAAGAAAAAAAAACTCCATTTCAAATGCAAGGGGTTTCTGAGATTGCTGTACCTGAAAACATAATAAACACATACAACTGAATCTAAATCTTTGGGAAACTTTCACCTGCTTGATCATTCATTCACTCACTCATTCATTCACTCATTCACCAACACTGAGGCACGGGGCTGGGTGTTGGAGACACAGACTGAATGGACACATGAAGCCTTGGAGTTGCTCAGGGACTAAGAGAAACTGCATTTCACTCACTAGTGGCCCAATTATATGCCCTTGAGACCAAACAGATTGGTAGAGAAGTTTAAAATGCAGGCACTAGGCCTCACTGACTTCACAGGCAAGTGTATGTGTGTATGTGTGCGCGCGCACACACGCTCAGTTGTGTCNAATAAAATAAATAAATAAATAAAATAAAGTTGACCTGGAATGCCAAAGAGAAATTTACTTCTACTGGGACTAAATTTATCCAATCAAGAGCGTGAGAGTCCAGAAGGGCTGAAGATGGCCAGGTTTCAGAAATAACGCAGCCTCTGTGTGCAAGAGTCTTTAAGCCCGGAGGCTAGCAGAGATCGCGGCCGCCTTAGCAGCCAGAAGGTGACCTCCTCAGTTGGGCCGAGGGAGGGCGCGGGCGCACCCGGGCCCTTGTCCTTGAAGAGGATTGAACGAGCCGGGGGGAGGGGTGGGCGGTGCTCGGGTTTCCAATCACAATAGAGGAAGCTCGGAGGCGGCCAAGGGGCGGGCCCGCCGGTTCTTCCTCCCTCCTTGCCGATCCTGCGCCGAGGAGACGCACGCTGCCGACCTCGTCGTCTTCGTGCAACCCTTACCAGTGTCTGGAGAACTTTCTTTCCCCTGGTAGGTTTCAGCTGGGACCCTGCATCCTGGCTCTGCGGAAAGACCTGGTGGGACTTGTGCAGCAAGACTCAGCGGGGGAAGGACCAGGAAGGACGTCTGAGCTCGCGGGCCTGGAGCCCTGAGCATCCGGATCGGGGTGGGGCGGGGGCCCTGTCCCGGGGCTGGGGGACCCGGCGGAGCCGAGGGCCTCCGCCCGATCTCCGGGCTGTGTCGGTCGCCCAGCGGAGCTCGCGGCCAGCCTGTGCCCTCCCAGGGGACGGATTTGTCGCATTTGCCGCTACATCCCGGTCCTGCGTGTCCTTGATGGGTTCATGGCGGTCGCATCACCCTCGGTGCCTGCTGGCGGGCGCCCGGACACGTGCCGGAGGAGTCGGGGCAGGGAGAAGGGGCCAGGCGACCCGTGAAGCTGGGGAGTGAGGGGGTTTTTGGCGCCCACCACCTCGGGCCTGGAGAAATGCCCGGCTTTTCGGGGATGAGAGTGAAAGATGATGATCTTGGCCCTGCCCTTAGCCTCTTCCTAGCCCTTCCCCGAGCGATGGGCCGGCTCGTTTCTGGCCTTTTTTTCCTTGATGCTTCGGATGCTGTTTATTTACCGGCTTTGGGTGTTGCGAGTTTAGAAAGGCCTAGACTTTTCCACGCTAGAGACCTTCTCTGGGGAGATCCGTGGTGGCTGCCTCCCCTGGTGACCTGAGCTCAGCGCTGCGGCGCGAAGAGGAAGAGGTTGCCCGTGGGCGGTCGGCACTGCGGGCTGGAGGGATGGAGTGGGGGAGGGGAGAGCCGGCTCTCAGCCGAGGAATTGCAGGGCAAAAATTGGCTGTTAAGAAGGTTAGAATCGAGATAGTCTGCAAAGTGGAGCTTTGTTCTGAACTAAAGGCACGGGTTCTTTTCTAGTGATTTATATCCACAGAAGGGGCAGAAGCATGGGGATGAAAAGGACCAAATATCGATTATTTTTACCCTGTTTTTCATTTTTTGCCCTTACAAGCCGCCACTGATCTTGAGACAGCCCTGTGTATGATATAAAACACTTTCTTGTCATTTCTTACAATCCTATTAAAGAACCCCTGTTAAAGAAAAAAAAAATTTAAATCACATTTCTGTAGAAAGATCTGAAAGAAAATCTGTGTTGGCTCAAGCCTCTACAATGTCGTTTCTGAAATTCCCCAGATAGTTTAAAAGGTCTATCTGAACAACTAATCTGTATTACTAGAACAGTCTTTCTGGATTTTTGTTTTCCACTGCTTTGCTGGATCCTCTATACCTAGAAGATTTTAAACCAACTAGTGAAAAAATACCGTGATGAAGAGAAACAGCGTTTGTATCTCAGTTCAGCAGGAGAGGCAGCATTCGGATTCTGCTCAACTGCTCAAAATGCAGGACGTGTAAATTTCACTGCAAGGTCATCTATTTGTGGAAACATTTGCACCATTGTATATTTCTTTTTTCTCTAGCATCCAGGAGAAAACTGCCAATGTGCTTTGGAAAGGCAAAATAACCTCCCAGCATAGACCCTAATGATTGGTGGGGAATAGTGTTTTTTGGGAAAAATAGCTATAGAACAAAACAGTTGCTAAACAGTTGTCCCCAAATTCAAGTCCAACTAGGAAGTCTTACGGACTCTTACCTAATATATACAATTACTCAACCAGGTTTTGTTACTTAGTCCTTTGCAGATGACAAACAAAAAATGAGACTGGGAAGCAGGGGTACAATTTGAAAGAGGGACCTTGCCCTGCCACGTGGCTGTCTGCAGCAAAAGTAAAAGGCAGACATAAATAGTAGACATTTTAATGGGTTATAATTATAAATGATACTTAATTTTGAAGAAAGGGCTTTTTAAAAAATATCATCTGAATCCTCTCTTTAAGAAGGCAGGTTGATACAACAAGTTTCACCATTTGTTTTATTTATCCAGAAAACTTACCTGATAACCTGATGACAGAAATACAATTGGTGTTACTTGTATAAATGCTTCCTAACAGTTTCCTTTTTTTTTTAACTTTATTTATTTATTTTTACTTTTTCTTTAATAGCTGGAAAGAAAGTGACTCAAAGACTGGTGTTTTCCTTATGTGGTCCCTTTGGGGGGAAATGTGTTAAGCATCTACCCACCTTCCAGTAAGCTTCAAGGCACACTAAAAGGAATTCAGAGTAATAATTTTTACAGATTTTGTGCAAACATATTTGTCACTATTTTATCATTATTGTATTTATTGAAGCACACGTTGCATGTCCAGTACACTGACAAATTTTAAGTGAGACCTCAGTAGAAGAAGAAAATAGACAAACCAGTTGGTCCCTATCTTCTAAGAGTGATAATAACCATTGATAGTTGAAATTATATTCATAAGTAGCTCTTCTTTTAGACTGAGTTTAATATGGGTTAATACTGGGCCCTAACTTAAATAAATATTTTGTAGGGAGCATGGAAACCAATCAGCTAATCTAAATATAAATGTTGTTTATCCAGTAAATGAATAGCCACAAGACAATTATTACAGCTTTGTTAAATACAACTAGATAGTCATAGGCTGAAAAGAAGAACACAAACTCCAAAGGGCTTCGTGGAGATTTTTGTTAGTGGGTCACATTTTTTCTTTTTCTTTTTTTAAAGAAACTGTGTTCTGGAATACCATTAGGCTTATTTTAAAATGTATTTTGATTCAGACTTGCAACAGTAACATACAAGTTTCCCTTCCTGTTTCTCAAGTGGATACATGTATCATATTTTGATTATTTTCTTTCAGGGCACAATGGCAACTCTTAAGGACAAACTGATTGCACCAGTTGCGGAAGAAGAGGGAACAATCCCAAACAATAAGATCACTGTAGTGGGTGTTGGACAAGTTGGTATGGCATGTGCCATCAGCATTCTGGGAAAGGTACTTTTCAAGAACTCCATATGTGATAGGTAGTTTCATCATGTGTATGCAATCTCTTTAGGCTTTTGAGAATTTGATTGTATCTTTAAAAGGTTTTTTTTCCCCTGAAAATTTTAAAATAAGTTGTAGACCATAATCAGTTCAGTTATCAACATCAGAAGCTTTAATACTGATAACCTGCTTCTAGCACCTTCCACTCCTCTAGATTATATTTCCCCACATACCTCCGTAGACCTGGTGATGCTTTATCTTTAAACACATTAGCAAATATTTCCTGAGAGAATGACATTCTTATCTGATACAATAGACTTACCGTACTCAGTAATACTGATTAAACACTATTATCTACTATACAGTACCCAGATTATAGTTCTCCGGTTATCAGAATCATACCTTTTCTCCCCTAGTCCAAGATCATATTTTTATATACTTTTCATGTCTCTTTATTCTTCCTTAATCTGGAACTTAGCCCTTCTTCATCTCTCATGTTACTGGTCAGTTTGTAGAGACATCAGTTTTGTAGGATGCCCCTCGATTTATGTTGGTCTGATGTTTGTAACTGAGTTCAGGTTATATTTGGGGGTGGCATTATGACCAGGTGATGGCCTTTCCTTCACAATGCATTACATCAGGAGGTGTGTAATGTTATCTTGCCTTGTTATCGGCACAGTTGCTTTTTGAGGTCATGGAAATATCCTATATTATTCCCCTCAAGCCTTCACTCAGTTGTTTAATTTTAATGTAATTTCAAATTTACAGAAAATTTGCAAGAATATTTTTTAAAAAGTAAAACTTCCGTATTCACTTCACCCAGATTTACCAATTCTTAATGTATTTCTGTTTGTGTGTGTACACAAGTGTGTGCCTGTGTGTATGGGCATATGCATGTGTGTGCATGTGTATGCACATGTGCATATGGGGCTTTTTTCTGAACCCTCTGAGAATAAATGCAGACATGCCCTTCCTTCTATCTGAGTACTTTTCCTCAGAATAGGACATATTCTAACATAATCAGTTCAGTTATCAACATCAGAAGCTTTAATACTGATAACCTGCTTCTAGCACCTTCCACTCCTCTAGATTATATTTCCCCACATACCTCCATAGACTTTTAGTTTGCCTCCTCTCTAATTACTTCATTGCTTTCTGAAGGCTGTTTTTAATGTTTTTTAGGGGGATCCCCTGCCTCAAAAAATGTTGCTGGGCCTTCGGTAGAACACACTTGTCTTTTTGTATTGTATGCTAAGGCTGCTGGAATAACTCCTAGGCGAGCATATTTCTGTCTATAAAATTTAAATTCTAAAGGATCAAATTCTGAATCTTCACTGAGGAAAGAATCATCAGAGAAATCAACTAAAATGTGTAGTGCACGCCAATGAAAGTTTTATTCTTTTGTATTTTCCCCGGCTAGTTTAATTGACTAGGTTCCCCTAATTTAGGAGAAGAGCTGCTCCCCAAATTACAGGGGAAATAAATAATCACAATTTAATGTTTACCATTCATACCAATAAAAATGGAAAAAAATATTCCAGCTTACTTTTCTTTTAAAATATTTATTGTGTAACATATTTTAAGTGTTTTGTTTAAAATGCTTTATTTAAACAGTAATCTCAATAAATGGAAACTGTTCATATCCTGTTTCCAGATACAGCAGTTGAGGCTTGACTAGATTAAGTGGCCTGCCTGTTATCACACAGTTGGTAATGGTTGAGCTGTATTTGAGCTCAGGACTCTGAACTCTTAACAACAGTAACTCTGCCATTTCTTTTTATTCTATGCTGGTGTTGGGGCAATTAAAGACAATTTTTTTTTTAAATTGAAGTATAGTTGGTTTACAATGTTGTGCTAGTTTCAAGTGTACAACAAACTGATTCAGTTATATATATATATAATGTATGTATATTCTTTTCCAGGTTCTTTCTCATCATAGAGTATTACAAGATAATTGAGTATAGTTCCCTGTGCTGTACAACAGGTCTTTGTTAGTTTACCGCTTTTATATACAGTGTTGTGTATGTGTTAATCCCAGACTCCTGATAATTTCTCTCTCCCTGCCCCAGACATAAATGTATTAATAAAATAGTAAAGATTTTTCATTCCTTAAGCTAAACTCAAAATTTGGACTTTTTAGGAAATTAGCAATATATCTGAGCTATCATTATTCTCTGAGAACCTCTCTGATTGTTTTAATTGTAAATGTAAAGTCCTCTTTGATAAATAATTTAATTGACTCTCTCTGCTGTTATATAATACTTTGGCCCAATTCAAATGCTTGAGAACCAACCAGGCCCCTAGCACAGTAGGAATCTTTCAGCTGAGCTGCTGTGAAGGAAGGACTGCCTTGTTCAAACATCATTTTACTAATTAAAAATGTTTAAATCTTCTTGTAACAGGGAAGGATTAGAGTCAAAGTTGTTATTACTATTTGGTAAGGATTATAAGCCCCATTCCTTTAATAAGAAAGATACCCCAAAAAGGGAGAGAGAAAGGGAACTAGTCAATTCTATTATGTTAAGTATCTATATATTACTTTATTCCTCTGCAAGTTTCTAGGGAATGTTGTCATCCTTATACTACTGGTGGAAAAACACAAACTCAGAAAGATTAAGTGCCTTGATTAAGATCTCAGAGATCTTACATCCCCGGTGTGGTTTTCAGAGGATACACAATGCTTTGGCCCAGAAAGGGGATGAGCTAGGGCATCAGACTGGTTGAGAAGGTTCGTACCTTGACTGGGCCCATGGAGGTACCTGAGTCCAACCTCCAGCATGACAAAGATGCTGATGTTTTCTGCTTCTCTTGCCCATTTTCCACATCCTAATTGCCAACATGGAAACCATTGTATAAAAATAGCTCCCCAGCTTAGCACTGCACACATAAATGAAATACAGGCAGGATCTTTCCCTGCCTGTCTCTCCGAGCAAGGCAGGGTGCACCCCTCCAGGGGGTACCATTCAGAATGTTGTGGTTTCCTTCCAGTGCTGTGCGGTGCCTGGTGCCACCTCTGACTTCATCTCTTACCTTCTCCCCTCTTCAAAGCACTAAGATCATCACGGCTTCAGTATTAGCCACTCAGTCATATCCAACTCTTTGTGACCCCATGGACTGTAGCCCACCAGGCTCCTCTGTCCATGGAATTCTCCAGGCAAGAGTACTGGAGTGGGTTGCCATTTCCTTCTCCAGGGGATCTTCCCAACCCAGGGATCGAACCTGGGTCTGCTACATTACAGGCAGATTATATACTGTCTGAGCCACCAGGGAAGCCTATGGCTTAAACCCTTTTATTTTTAAAAAGTATTTTAAAAATTATTGTATTTATTTGGCTGTGTCTGGTCGTAGCTGCAGCCTGCAGGATCTTTTGTGGTGGCGTAGGCTCTCTGGTTACGGCACACAGGTTCTGGATTGGACGGGCTCAGCAGTTGCGGTGCTTGAGCTTAGTGGCTCTGTGGCATGTGGGAATCTTAGTTCCCCGACCAGGGATCGAACCTGCACCCCCTGCATGGGAGGCAGATTCTTAACTACCAGGGAAGTCCCTTAAACCCTTTTAGAACTTGATTTCCCTTCCTCTGGAATGACTGCCTTGGATCATCAGAGTTAACTCCCTCCTATCATTCATATCAGGCCTTTGCAGACGGGTCTTCCTTAATCATCCAATACCAAGTAAGCTTCCTTCCATTTCCTTTAACTTTGCTCTGCCTTGCACTGCTTATAGCATTTCCATGATCAGAACCATCTTAAATTGTTTGCTTCACTCCTCTCCCCTTCTTGGTACATTCCATGAGAGCAGGAACCTTGTCAGATTTGTTCATTACTATATTCCTCACTAGTAGAATAATGCCTGGCACGTTGAGTAGTGAACATGTATTAAATAATGGGTATTCCTCTTACTAAGAAACAGCACTTATATCCGGTCAAATTTTAATCAGAGCTTTTCCTTTTTCATGGTTTCTCCTGTCGCCCCTACCAATCATAAGGTGTCTGCTTTGGCTGCCAAGACCCCATCACGTTGTCAGGGTCATATAGAGCTTCCATGTGATTATTCTGCCCTTAACCTCTGACCAGCTGTTTTTGGTTTGAGTGTCTGTCAGTCAGCTGTAGTCACATTCTTCTATAAACACAGCATACAGAGCAATGTAATTACAGGCATACTGCAAAGTAGTTTTTGCACTGCAAGACTTGGCCTAAAAGTGAAACTTAATTAGAATTTGGTGTTTGTATAAGAATAGATAGGCTAATGGAACAGACTCAAAACCCAGAAACAAAACCGAAGAATATTTAATACAAAGGGACATGCCAGAGAAGAAAAACAAATTATTGAATAAGCGGTGGTTGTCCATTTAGCTATTTGGAAAAAGTTATACCTTTTCCTCCCACAAAATGTCATGCAGACTGAACACTTGAATATAAAAATGCAGAATTCAGCCATCAAATATTAAGGCACTGTTAGCACAGTTGGATGTGACTTAGCAACTAAACAGCAACAAAAACAATAGTTTGCTAGCTCAGGGACCAAGAGGTAGGTTGTGGCTATGTCTGGTCCACACAGGACTTAGATTAAGAGATTTTTTTTTTTTTTGCCAAGCCGTCCAGCATTCAGGATCTTAGTTTCTCCACCAGGGTTTGAACCTGTGTCCACTATAGTGGAAGTACAGAGTCTTAACCACTGAACCACCAGGAAAGTCCAAAGCGATGATTTTTGTCTTATGTTAAACAGGCTATCAACAAATGTTGTTCTTGGCTTCTAACTGACCTTGTTCCTCAATAAGTTAGTGCTTTTGCAGTTAATCTAAGCCTTGATGTATTGATCATTTTAAAATATTCAGCTTAAGTGGAATATACATGTGGTAAGTTCATTGGCTAGTATACACTATGTGAATACAGAAGGATTTATTTTAAGTCCAAGTGTCAGTACTTAGTCACACATCTTCTGTTTGCCTGCCTCCCACTGGGAGGATATTCAGTCGCATAAATGCAGCTAAATTCAGCGCTGCAATTATTTTCTCCAAGTGTTGGATCTCTTCCTTCCTTGCCAGCTGACTATGCACTTCTCCGCCAATTCTCTACCCACAGGGACAAAACAGAGGATCTGAGATCCTGTGACATCCTTTTCCACTTAAGCCCCAAATTGTTGTGCCCCTTGACTTCAACAGCACACGTGATGTCCCCAAAATAAGAGTGACATCCCCAGTACTTGGCACCTGAAAGGAATGGTTATGAAGTTCTCTGGAGTGAATTTAGGGCTCCAGAAACATAAGTGAGGGCTTTGTGTGATCTTGCAAAGGAATGAAACCATTTTAAGTGTTAAAAATGTGTGTAAGTGAAAAGGGGTGAACATTAATGCCTGCATTTGACATACACGGAAGGAGAAAATACTTCACAGGGAAGCCTGGAGTGCTGCAGTCCATGGGGTCACAAAGAGTCGAACACGACTCCGTGGCTGAGCGACAGCAAAGCATCCCCCATCATGAAAGGGTCTTTTGACGTTGGCAAGTGAGTCAACTGCTTGGAACTAAGAATGCATTCAGTCATATGGAAGTTTGAGTCTCATAGAAACCCTCCCAAGCAAGCCTATTATAGCTCTCTGCTTCAGGTCAGCCGACACTGGTTTTCTAGAAACAGGTGACAGTCTTTATTCCTAGGCTCCTACCTGGAGCAGGACCTGTTTTGCTGGCAAGTTAACTGGGTCAAGTTCTCTTGTTGGCCACCTCACCTCTCTTTCTCTGCCTCTCCCTCTGCTGCTCAGAGCCTTCCTGACCCCTCCTGATTCTACATGGATTATTCTATCTTAGCCTTCAAAGCTCTTTCTGAACCTGAGTTACTTCATACTTTTTTCCCTTTACATAACTTATCAAACTATCCTTCACATATTAGGCTAATTACTTTGCTAACAGCCTGAAAAGCAGTAAAGGCCAGGATTTGGGTGATAGGTCAATGGGAAGGGTAATTGCTTTTTAAAAGAGTTCGTAGGGACTTCCCTGGTGGCCCAGTGGTTAAGACCCCATGCTCCCAGTGTAGGAGGCATGGGTTTGACCCCTGGTCAGGGAACTAATATCCCACACGCTACAGGACATGGTCAAAAATATAATTTAAAAAAAAAAAGAGTTTGTAAATTACGAGTTTTCACAAGACAACTGACTTATTTTTTAAGTTTTGGGGCCATGTTGCATGACATGCAGGGTCTTAGTTCCCTGACTGCGGATCAAACCTGTGCCTTCTGCATTGGAGGCCTGGAGTCTTAAAGACAACCGATTTTAAAAGCTGAAAGGTTATTTAAATGCAACTAGATCTCTTGATGCGAAGAGCCGATTCACTGGAAAAGACTCTGATGCTGGGAAAGATTGAAGGCAAAAGAAGAAGGGGGTGGTAGAGAATTAGGTGGTTAGATGGCATCACTGACTTAATGCACGTGAATCTGAGCAAAGTTCAGGAGATGGTGAAGGACAGGAAAGCCTGACATGCTTCAGTCCGTGGGGTCACAGAGTTGGACACAACTGAGCAACTGAACAACAGATCAACAGCTCCCTTTCCCTGAGAAGAAAAGATTGAGGACTTGCTGAAGAGCAGACAGGATAATTGATTGAGGGTATTACTCGGGATGGATGGCACAAGATGACAATCGGAATAGAAAATAAGAAAACATTGACACTGGCCAAGTTTGCCTTGAAAGCATATGGAGAATTCACTAGCCCTGTAGCCCTGTGCTCCTGACTCTTATCTTTCATCAGCAGGATATTTAAGTTAGTCAGAGCCAACCTGAGGGTTCCTAGCTTCAACCAGGGCTTCAAAGCCTGCTCTGAAGTGAACTGAGCCTCTTGTTTTAAATGAAATCTGCCCTCTCTAAATCCCTCTAAACTAGGAGTGACCTTCAGGATGGACACAATGCCCAAGACTGTTTCTAGGTCTTTGTGAGTCTAGTTTTTTGCCATCACCCCCCTTTAATGTGAAGACTTGAGCACCCTGAGGCCACTGTTGAACCACAATACTTGCATGTTTACAGATTCTTAAAACAATTACATCAAGCTCATTGAATGTCCATTGAGTACTAGAGGTGAAATTCTTTTTTAAAAAATGGTATCAAACATTAATAGTTCATTATTCAAAACGTTTCATCATCAAATTGTTGAAAGCACACCTAACTCCATGGTAAAAATTCTTCCCTAGGTTTTTAGACATTGGGCATTTCCATTTCAAGGGTCTTTGACTTAAATACTGTGAACTGAGGTGTCCTTGAGTGGCTTGGAGTCCTAACAGCTCTTTTTGTGTTTATAGTCTCTGACTGATGAGCTTGCTCTTGTGGATGTTTTGGAAGATAAACTCAAAGGAGAAATGATGGACCTGCAGCATGGGAGTTTATTCCTTCAGACACCAAAAATTGTGGCAGACAAAGGTAGGCTCCTTTCATGCCTGAAGTGATCAANTGTGGATGTTTTGGAAGATAAACTCAAAGGAGAAATGATGGACCTGCAGCATGGGAGTTTATTCCTTCAGACACCAAAAATTGTGGCAGACAAAGGTAGGCTCCTTTCATGCCTGAAGTGATCAAATAATAAATTGATATCCTTGCTCCCTGAGAGAAAACAGGTTTTCCCATCCCGGTGAATCTAATGTCAGCAGTTTCTTGTTTCCTTCTGGGTCCAATTCATCCTCAGGGACAATCATAATTGTTATCTCTGTAAACCTTCCCCCTCTTGCCTTGCACATATACAGTGCATAACATTTTAGGAAATTGGACCCAAATGCTTACTTATATATACCTGAGAACAGGGATGTTTTAGATCCAAAAAAATATTTGCACAAAATAATTTGAATGCCTCAAAGAACCTAAATAAATTCGTATTCTAGCCATCTTCTGGATTAATGCATTTATGCAGTAATTTGGCAGTGCCTACAGATGTCCAGCCTCCAAAATAATTTCTAACAATACTACTAATAATAGTGTGTGTGTCAATCACTCAGTCATGTCCAACTCTTTGCCACTACATGGACCCCTCCATAACCCAGGCTCTTCTGTCCACTGGATTACCCAGGCAAGAATACTGGAATGGGTTGCCATTCCATTCTCCAGGGGATCTTCCCAACCCAGGGATCAAACCTGGGTCTCCTGCATTGTGGGCAGATTCTTTACCATCTGAGCCACAGGGCAAGTCCTCTACTAATAATAGCTGTTACTTATTGAATTATTAGCATTCTGGGTATTGTGAAACTTGTTGCATATCTCATCTTCACTGCAGCCCTGTGAAAAGTGGGTCTTATTACCTCCATTTTATGGAAGAGGAAGCTGACAAATTATTAGTAACTGTCAAAAGTCACATAGCAACATGGTTTAATTGTATGAGTCAGCCATAACTATTGAGTCTAATGACCACATCAAATCAAAATGTCTGATTTGAGAAAGGATTCACTTGCTTGGGGAAAAAAATAAAATACTCTCTAGAGAAACTCACTGCTAAAAACAATAAGCTTCTTTGAAATATTGAGTATTAGAAATTAAATTCTAGCCAAGAACAAACACTTGAGTGCCTTCCTTAGCCTTCATAGATTGAATTAACATTACAAGTCTACAGTTACCTTCCAATTGCTTTTTTGTTGGATGACTGCCAGTTGAACTTTGCACTCACTGTTTATACTTTGTATTATTACTAACAATCCAATATTCTCTGAAGGCAATAGAATTTTGAATCTGTTAACAAGAAACATAATTTAGGGCCGTCTTTGTTTCCTGGGTTCATTTTCTGAGCCAGTGTTATGGTCGGAATAGTTCCACATCGCTCAAGGAGGAAGAACACCATGGAACACTGGTGTCACAACTCAACACGTTATACAGAAAACATAATTCTCACATACGTTCCATGAGCTTATGTATGTTTGGGTTCCTAGAGCATCTCAAATGGCATGTTTTGATGCAGAGTTGTATGTAAAGTCCTTTTCTCCTCTCTCCTTCAAGATTACTCTGTCACTGCCAATTCCAAGATCGTGGTGGTAACTGCAGGAGTTCGCCAGCAAGAGGGGGAGAGTCGCCTGAATTTGGTGCAAAGGAACGTTAACGTCTTCAAGTTCATCATTCCTCAGATAGTCAAGTACAGTCCTGACTGCATCATCATTGTGGTTTCCAACCCAGGTATCATTGTGATGTCTTAAGGTTCAGTTCTGTTCAATTCAGTACTTTGGGATTTTTTTTTTCTTTTCCTTTTTTTTTTTAACTTATAAAATATCTTTTATGGTGTTTGGCCTAAGCAATTCACGTGTTCTGTTAATTGGCCACAGAGAATGATGTTTGCAAAAACCCTGGCACGTTCCCAGGCCACATGCGGAAGAATGTGAGAAGAGTTTTATTTAAAGGAGTTTCATCTCCTTATTTTATCTGGGTTTGTTGGAAAGTCTAAAAGCTTTTAAAATTTTCTATTAAGATTATCCTGGGATACAAAATGAAGCATTTGAATGTGGCTCCAGATTGGAAGGAATATTTTGGCATATTTGACCTTCTATTTTCCAGAAAACACACTTTAGTCTTCTTATTTCTAAAATTCTCGAAAATTAAGTTGACTGATTTTTTTTTTTAAGGAGTTAAAGAAAGCCATTAATTAGTCTATATTTAAAGATGGAAGATAGCCTATTGATGGACAAATACATGTTTAACACCAAATGTTGTAACTTAAAATTTCTGATTAGAAAAAATTGTATTCTTTCAGCCCAAAGAGTCAGAATTCACTGTTTCACACTTCTTTTGCCTATAATTTGCCACCAAACTTACTTTTTATTGGTAAGCACAGTAGATAAATATGTTGTTAAATGGTAAAGCTGATTATCTCTGATACTTCACGTAGAGAAACATTGTAAGAGCCAGGAAAAATCCTTAAATTTTATGGGATGTTGAGAGTTGGGAGCCAGCAAGACCATCTTGGCTTGGAGTTTCCTAGTCAACCTTGTATCTAAAATTTCTCATAAATGGAGAGTGGCAAATAGATGTAGCGCATTAGTGACAAACAGGAGGCACAAATGAAGTTGCTACATCCTGTGCTTAAGGCAGACATTATTAACTGGTTATACAACTTTTCCAGGTATAGCTTCAAAGTCTTAAGTGTCCAGGGAGTCACTCCTACTGAGTCAGTGTTGCCAAGGAAGAGGTTATGATATCCAGGCCAAAATGACCTTAAAATATCTCAGCCAGGGTCTATATATGAGAGTGGGGGTGGAGACTTGCCTTCTTGGTGTGCACATTTTCCTGCCTTTTACAGCTTAGCCTGTATAAATGCTCTGATCTTCTCTAGCCCAGCAGGTTTTACCTCTGTGCCACACCAGAATAAAGGCTCTGCATTAAATTCTTTCTGTTAAATACTAGGAAATGCTAATAACCTATATTATAATAATTGTTTACTGAAAACTGTCTTGTTCCCAAAGGTAACTTTTAGTGCGTGCCTTGGTTGTTTAGTAACCTATAGCTTTTGATTTCTGCAAACAGTTGTTACAGTCCTAGAATGTTAGAATTGGAAGAAACTTGTGATAATCGAATTCAGCTCTTTTTTTCTTTCTTTCCATATATAGTAAATTAATCTGCAAGACTCATATATTCTTGTTTCAATGATAATGTAAATTAAAACCACAATATTGCATTTTTCATGTTTTATAATCTCTTGACTATACAGCTTAAAAGTTTTTCTTATCTTTCTAACCCCCATGGCCCCTAATTATGAAAAGTCAAATATTTATATCTTTCTGTCCACATCTCATTTGGGGGATGAGGCAGAGGGGAGAGGAGAAAACCAGGGCACTGCTGATTAACATAGCAGTTGACATCAGTTTTGATGTGCTTACATATATTATATTTTAAAATTTTAGTGGATATTCTCACATATGTTACCTGGAAACTAAGTGGATTACCCAAGCACCGTGTGATTGGGAGTGGATGTAATCTGGATTCTGCTAGATTTCGCTATCTTATGGCTGAAANAGTGGATATTCTCACATATGTTACCTGGAAACTAAGTGGATTACCCAAGCACCGTGTGATTGGGAGTGGATGTAATCTGGATTCTGCTAGATTTCGCTATCTTATGGCTGAAAAACTTGGCATTCATCCCAGCAGCTGCCACGGATGGATTTTGGGAGAACATGGCGACTCAAGCGGTAAAAAAAACAAAACAAAACACGGATAGTGTTTGCTGTGTACTTAGGATATTGTTTTTGCCATTCTGAATTTTTTGTTTGTTTTTACATTATAGTTTACATTTTCACATACTTCACATTACAGATAAGTAATTGTGAGAGAATACTTTGATAGTGACTAGGTAAATACCTGATTCCTTATCTGTTTTTTGCCTCATAAGTTCAGTATCCACTAATGATTCTTAGTTAAATATTATTTAGATAATAATGGTTTAAAAATGGTTATTACTGCGATAGTTTTGAAACATTCTAATTCCATCATTTCATCTTAAACATTGAATATTATACATTGAATAGGCTTATTGTATAAAACTGTAATAATCCAAGACAATGATAATATTGGTTTTACTAAATCTGCTTCTGCCCAATATGCAAGGGGCTATTTTCTCCCTAAAGGTTAAGGTGTAAATTTTTCTTTGAAAAATTAGTAGTATAATTCTGAAAGAGTGAACTTTGGTACAGTAAAATTGGGTCTTAAAATTATTACTTAGTTTTTAAAATATAAGCAGGCAGAAAGTTCAGAATTCCTCAAACCCAGAGTCTAGGATAGTCCCAAACTAGAATCCCTCACGATTTCACAAACCCACAGAAAGGGAAGAATTTCATAACGCCTGTGAGTCTGACACAGAAGTTCTGTTTGCATCAAAATGGTTGAAAGGTAAAAGGTCAGATTTGCCGGCAAATGTTAGTCCCTGGGGGGAAGTGTATGCGAGTGAATTGTCACTGGAGCAGTTAGTGGATAACTTGCATCAGGGGTGAAATCTGAACTAAGAGAAGGAAAGATTTTTTAAAAATAATGTCAGAGGTAAAATGCCTATCTCTCCCCCACCCCCAATAGTGGCTGTGTGGAGTGGAGTGAATGTGGCAGGCGTTTCTCTCCAGGAACTGAATCCAGAAATGGGAACAGACAATGATAGTGAAAATTGGAAGGAAGTGCATAAGATGGTGGTTGAGAGGTAAGCAGGGGTAGGAGGTTTAAGATTTAAGACAATTAATATCATCTTAGATAAAATTGGGAACACTTTCTATGGTTGCCTATTCAGATAAACTTTTTCCAAAATTTTTTTTCTCCTTTTAAAAAAATTTACTCTTTTTTATTTGTTTGTTTGAGAGTGTTTTTTTTTTTCTTTTTCTATTCATTTTTTAATTATTTTTTTCTTTTAGATAGACTCAGCATAGCAAATATGCAGCTATTATCTTCTGAAAGAGGCAAGACTGACTTATACTGGTCAAACTTGCTATGCTGGTGCCCCTAGGGAAAGCAGATATTTTTCCAGAGAAATTCTGTTGTAATAGGAGTGAAACATGGAATTCACAGATGACAAAGTTGGCTTATTTAGAAAAGTAAACCTAGGCGCTGTTGTGTCATAATTGACTAAAATGATACTTACTGATTGATTGTTAATAGTTTTCAAGCTATTAGCAAGCAATAGCTTGAACACTGATTCAGTGTTTCTCCACACCCAACCAAGGATGTCCCCTTCCCCCTGTTTTTTAAAACTGCCTTTTGTGACTAACCATTCTCTCTATGACCCTCATGTTTATCATAAAATAAGGTATCATTTTGGACCAGAGTAAAGACTGTGGGCTTGGACTGAAATTATGGGTCTTTTGACACTAACTGTATAATATTGGGAAGCTATTTAACCTTTAAATTGAATCTCAGTTTTCTCCTCTGCAAAGTCTTAAGGTGTTTATAAGTCTAACTGGTTTCTCAACTATGTCATTTCATTTAATTCAATTTTAATGACTTTTTTCCCCCCAAGAATTTGACCTGTATATGGAGAAAAAGGATCTTTAAAAAGTTGAAAGAGTTCTTAGGATTTCATTAAGATAAACCCAATGTAGCTCACCCAAGGTCTTTTAATTAGTGATAGATTGCATTAAGTCCCATTTTTCTAGTACTGAGTTACTCCTGCTACCTAATTCTCAAATACAAGAGCCTTTGTGGGTTCAGAGTTGTAGATAATTTGTGCTCAGAAAGTTGTCTGCGAGGTTTTGACATCACGTTGCTCTTAAGTTAGTTGGTCATAGAATTTTAGGTGACAGTGATTAGTGGCCTCAAAGGGAGCTGAAAATCAAGGTGTAACTTGTCCTTTGAATGTGAATGTGAAGGTTCTTTTACTTCCATTGTTCCCCTGATTTTATTAATCTCTTTGGAAATATTTGTGTTTATAAATAAGAAGATTGATTGCAAAATGTGTATGCTACCACTGTGACTTTATAAATGGCCATTTATACAATAAACTACTTAAATTTGTCAAAGCATTTACATAGTACCTACCATGTAGTTTTAAAGTTTTAAATATTTTACATAATATATTAACTCATTTAACAAACTTATGAAGTAGATACCATTGTTACCCTTATTTTACAGAAGTGGGCCCTGAGATAGGTAGTCTAAATACGGTTCTCAGGATGACAGAGTTGAGACAGCAGGAATCAAACCACCAAAGCATCTGGTCAGTTACCAAAGCATCTGGTCAATTATCTCCGATATGATTTTTTTTCTTAGTGCCTATGAAGTCATCAAGCTAAAGGGATATACCAACTGGGCTATTGGATTAAGTGTGGCTGATCTTATTGAATCCATGTTGAAAAATCTATCCAGGATTCACCCAGTGTCAACAATGGTGAAGGTAAACTGTTACAAATTAGGTGGTTTCTCGTCCGAGTATTCCATAAGTAGATTAATTTTAAGAAAGATGAGATAATGTCTCAGTCCATAATTATTTTTCATCTCAAAGTTTTTTGGAAACTTTACTCGTTTCTATCAGAAGCTTAGGCCAAAAGAGCAGAAGTTTATAGAAGTTGAGACATCAAATGCCTTTTTATAATTCTCCTTTGTATAATGTGGCAAATTAAATAATAACTCTGAGTCTTATTCAGCATATTCTTAGATGGTCATTTGAATAAGTTAAATAGTTTCATTTCAAGTTGGTGTATTATAGACTATAGCTTGGCTTTGATGTATGTGGCACTGATACCTTAGCAAATTGAGTTTAATTCAGAAGCTATGGAACAGTTAAGTAGAAATTGATTATTTTTAAATAAAACTGAGATAACTGACTCATTTTCTGCAAGTCAACAGCAGGAGTGAAAAAGAAGGGGGAAAGTGCATTAGACTGAAAGAAACAGAAGAGGTAAATATAGAAGTATTTGGGGATAAAGCATGTATCAGATGTTTTGAGGGTTTTTTGTTATTGTTGTTTGGCTTTTTGACACTATAGCAAAAACAAAAAATAAAAAGCAAGTATGGCAAAATCAGATAATTGCCAAGTCCGTATATAAAAATTTGTTTATTGCCTCCACTTTGGTGTATGTACAAAAACTTTCAGAGCTAATTTAAGAAAATATTAAACTGACTTGATTAATTTACTAAAATAATTACATAGTTAAATTGACACTGTGAGTAAATTACTTTGTACAAACCAGTACAGTGTTTGGGGAATTGTGTGATTTTTTTTTTTCTTCCCCCCCCAGCAGTTCTTGAGTATTCCAAGAATCTTGCCTCTGTGTAACTTCCAATTACTTTCCTGGACCTTGTAGGTCAACTACTACCTGAAATCTTCTACTTAACTAAAGAATTTTCAGGATGTTTAAAATTTCATGAAAAAAAAAAGCCCAATAAGAACCACATTTGAATGTGATTTAATTTGAAGACATATAAGCAGAGAGGTGTCAAAAAGTTTGATAAAGTATTTTAAAAATTCTAGTTTTATCATAGAGTCTATTTGTATATTCTATGTGCAAAATCAAATTTGAAATACAAATATTAGAGATAGATAGCACTGCCAGTGATAAAAACTAGAGGAGTTTATGCTTATCAGATTTCCTGTAATTCGTCCTGTTCAACCCCAGGACCTGTGGTCATTTTTACCTTTGGTTTCATTTCTTAATCTTGGTGCTTTTTTTGTTCTGGCAGGGCATGTATGGCATTGAGAATGAAGTCTTCCTGAGCCTTCCATGTATCCTGAATGCTCGAGGGTTAACCAGTGTTATCAACCAGAAGCTGAAGGATGAAGAGGTTGCCCAACTTAAGAAGAGTGCAGATACCCTCTGGGGCATCCAAAAGGATCTAAAGGACCTGTGACTTCTGGCTGCGAGGCTGTAGAAACTTAAAACTACAGTTTGATTAACCACAAGCCTTTAGTTTGCGTCCATGTACATGGAGCACAGTTCGCTTTTGTCTTCCTAAGTCTGTGAATCTAGGCTCCCAGAATCAAAGCCCATGCTTGCTATTAAAGCTTGCAAGATGAGTCCTTGAACAAATAAAATAAACCACCTAGCGTAGTGTGCTCCTGTCTCTCGAATTCTTTAATTTCTGAAAGATTTCCATCTGTTTGTTTTTTTTTTAAATAATTCTTCCCCCATATCATAAATTTCCTTAAATTCTGTCATCTACATTTCATCCTGTACTTCTTCCACCAAACAGCACTACAATTCTTTGTCACAACATGTGCTGTGATTTTGTTGTCCTAAGAATGTTACCATTTTTTTGTTTCATGTATTTTAAATTTATTTGGCTGTGTCGGGTCTTAACCATGACATGCAGGATCATTATTGCATCACGTGGGGTCTTTTGGCGCAGCACATAGACACTAGTTATGGCTCACTGGTTTAACTGCTCCATAGCATGTGGGATCTTAGTTCTCCCACCAGGGATTGAACCTGCATTCCCTGCATTACATAGCAAATTCTTAACCATTGGACTGCCCGGGAAGTCTCAAGGATTTTTGGGGTTTTTTCTTTTGAGAGTTTAGTTTCACAGCAAAATTGATGCAGAGGTTTCCCATAAACACTTTCCCCTGTGTTTATAGGAAATCTGTCTATGAATATATGTATATGAACACATATATTCATAGCATCCCCTGTTATTAGCATCACTCAGAGTGGTGTATTTGTTATGTTATGGTCAATGAACCAACATTGCTATGACATTCAAAGCCCATCATTTACATTATGGTTCAGTCTTGGTATGCATTCTGTGGGCTTGGACAAATGTAAAGTGACATGTACCCAGTATTTCCATGGCCCTAAAAATCCTGAGGGTACCATTTTAGGTTTACCAGTGAAGAAAGAACTAGAACCAATGGATGACATTTACGAAGAAGTCCATTTTATTTCTCTCAAAGGAAAAGCCTCTAAAATGACTTTCTAAAGTTGGGATTAACTTTGTTACAGTTGGTTCAATTTGATAATGAAAAATGAAAATGAGCTAAATTATTCACATCCAGGCTACTGGGAGACAGCTTAATACAGGGGTTAAGAGGGGGCCTTAATGCAGACTTCCTTTAAAAAATAGAGTCTACTTTACATGTAATGTCTAGGGGTCAGTTGTAGTAGTGTTAAAAGCATGGGATTTATCATGTAAACCTGGATTTCATTGATTAACTGCAATTTGGGGCAAGTTACCTTCTTAACCACCCCTAAGCCTCAATTTTCTCACCTATGAAGTAGTGGTAATAATGGTACCTCTTCAATATGGTGTATGAATTAAATGAGAAAATTAAAACTTAAAGCACAATGCTTGAGTCTAGTAGTATTTTAGTGCTTACTGTTATAAGTGATTTCAGTTCAGTCCCTCAGTCGTGTCCTACACTTTGTGACCCCATGAAACGCAGCATGCCAGGCCTCCCTGTCCATCACCAACTCCCGGAGTTCACCCAAACTCGTGTCCATATTAACCACCCCTAAGCCTCAATTTTCTCACCTATGAAGTAGTGGTAATAATGGTACCTCTTCAATATGGTGTATGAATTAAATGAGAAAATTAAAGCACAATGCTTGATTCTAATAGTATTTTAGTGCTTACTGTTATAAGTGATTTCAGTTCAGTCTCTCAGTCGTGTCCGACTCTTTGTGACCCCATGAACCGCAGCATGCCAGGCCTCCCTGTCCGTCACCAACTCCCAGAGTTCACCCAAACTCATGTCCATTGAGTTGGTGATGCCATCCAACCATCTCATCCTCTGTCATCCCCTCCTGCCTTCAATCTTTCCCTGCATCAGAGTCTTTTCAAATGAGTCAGCTCTTTGCATCAGGTGGCCAAAGCGATTTACATATATGTAATATATGTGAGTTACATAAATCATCCTAAACTGGCTTAAAACTCAGCATTCAGAAGATTATGGCATCTGGTCCCATCACTTCATGGCAAATAGATGGGGAAAAAATAGAAACAGTGACAGACTTCTGGGGTCCAAAATCACCACAGATGGTGACTACAGCCATGAAATTAAAAGACACTTGCTCCCTGGGAGAAGAGCTATGACAAACGTAGGCAGCACATTAAAAAGCAGAGACGTTACTTTGCCAACATTGGTTCGTCCAGTCAAAACTGGTTTTTCCAATAGTCATGTACAGATGTGAGTTGGACCATAAAGAAAGCTGAGCCCAGAAGAACTGATGCTTTTGAACTGGTGTTGGGAGTAGACTCTTGGAGTCCCTTGGACTGAAAGGAGATCCAGCTAGTCCGTCCTAAAGGAGATCAGTCCTGAATATTCATTGGAAGGACTGATGCTGAAGCTGAAGCTCCAATACTTTGGCCACCTGATGTGAAGAACTGACTCATTTGAAAAGACCCTGATGCTGGGAAAGATTGAAGCCAGGAAGAGAAGGGGATGACAGAGGATGAGATGGTTGGATGACATCACTGACTTGATGGACATGAATTTGAGTAAGCTCTGGGAGTTGGTGATGGACAGGGATGCATGACATGCTACCATCTATGAAGTTGCAAAGAGTCAGACACGACTGAGCGACTGAACTGAGCCATAAGGTAGTGTTTCTGCACCTTGGCACTATAATTTGGGGCTGGAATATTCTGTGTTGTGGGAAGGTATTCCCTGGTAGCTCATTTAGTAAAGAATCTCTCCTGCAGTGCAGGAGACCCGGTTTGATCCCCGGGTCAGGAAGATCCCCTGGAGAAGGAAATGGCAAACCACTCCAGTATCCTTGCCTGGAAGAATCTATGGACAGAGAGCCTGGTGGGCTGCAGTCCATGGGTTGTAAATAGTTGGCACGACTGAGCAACTAACACACAGTGCATCATAGCATGTTTGCTAGCATCTCTGGCATCTACCCGCTTGATGCCAGTTACATACACCTCTCCCCAGTTTTGTCAACCCAGAATGTGTGCATACATGTCAGATTTCTCCTGGGAGCAAAATCACCCCTGGTTGAGAACCACTGCTCTAAAGTATTTGAATCCTCATTTTACAGATAAAACTGAAACACACACAGAGGTCACACAGCTGCTAAGTAGTGAAAGGTTGTTGCTGAACCACGAGAGATGCCAGGATTCTTGGCTTCCGAAGGAGAAGAATTCAATCCGGGGCCAGAGACGAGGCTTGATCGCTCAGAGCTTTTGTGCAATAGAGCTATGTTAAAGTATAAAAGGGATAGAGAAAGCTTCTGACATAGACATCACAAGGGGGCAGAAAGAGTACCCCCCTTGCTAATGTTAGCTATGGAATTATATACTTTTTAATTACCTTTAACAGTGAATCAAAAGAATGTCTGGCGGTTGTAAAGACCTTACTAGATCCACTCCCATAATTTACATTTTAAGATAACAGGATTAGCCAGAAGGTTTTTTCCAGAAACTGTCCTCAAGCAGGATGCATTATTGTTTTATAATCCTAAGGAATGTAGAGGGAAAAAAAGTTTGTCCTTTCCTCCTTGAGAATTTCAGACTCCTCTCTTGGGGACCCCTGGACTTCTTATCAACCTGCCTAGGAATTGACTCTCTCAATAGCAGAGTTGAGGTTCAACCCAAGCACCACAGCTCCTTAATCTGTCCTGTGCTACTACTGCTATAAATACTAACACTTATTGTTACATTTTTGTATCTTTAACATAAAATAATGTCAAAAATCACTGTTTCATTTAATGTTCCAGCATATTATGAGGATGTTCTTTTTTAAAATTTGGTGTAATTATCAGTTTGCATGTGTTCACTATTCTTGCATCCTGCTTACAATGTCTAACTTACAATGTTACTCCATCTTACATGTCTTTTTTTGTTTTTGTTTTTGACTTTCAACATTAGCATTTTATTATGCAGGGACATCAAATGTCACTTATAATTTACATATATTTGAAGAAATTAACCAGTTATATGTATCCATACCTGGCTTAAAACATCTCAGAATTTTTACAGAAAGGGAGTCTAAACCACAGGTACTAAGTATACTTCTCAGGTCACATTTTTTAAATGACTCAGTCTGCTGAACAGAACAGAATGCTATACTCAACATTTTGCAATACCTATAAAGGGAAAGAAACTGAAAAAAAATACCTGAATTACTATGCTATATGAAGCTCAACACAGTACTGTAAATCAACCATACTTCAATTTTTTAAAATGACAATCTTAGGATGATAATCATATCTAGCTAGATGTAAGGAGAAAGGTTATTTTAATTTGTAATTCATTGTTTCGCTTTATTCGAGAATACTAAATTTACAACAAGCCAATGGTTTCCAAGCTTGCATTTCATAGAGCAGTTTAAAATCTTTTAAACTTTGTCAGGGATAGAAATGAGTCTTTGTGTGGAGGGAGATCCGGGGCCTCAAGATAGCCAGATAAAGACATGGAGGGGGAAAAAAAGACTATGTATTCTTACCATTATACAGAAGAACAGATACTTTAATGCCAAAAGAAGGAAAACATTGCAATCAAATTTATCAGCTGTCCTGCACCATGAGCAGAAAAGCAAAACCCTTGTTCTGGAGGAGCCAACAGCTGGAAGAAGTCTGGGTCTTTGAAGTTTATGGAGCTGCTCTTCCAGCTATAGACTGCCTGCTTCCAACTTGCTTTTGCCTGAGGAGGAAACAAATGCCTATTGCTGATATTTTGGGTGTGTGTCTCAGCAGCCAAATTTAATTTAGTAACACATTCTGTAAGACTTTATTGGGAAAATTACCATAAGGCAAAGCACCTGCTAGCAAATAACTGTTTTTAAAATTTTATTTGCTTATTTCTGGCAGCACTGGGTCTTGGTTGCTGTGTGTGGGCTTTCTCCACTTACAGCGAGCAGGAATCAAACCCATGTCCCCTGCATCAGCAGTGGACCCCCAATCCCTGGGCCACCAGGAAAGTCCAGAAAATAACCTTTTATCTAATGGAGGAGATAGTCATGAATGATAAATAGCAAAACAAGGTGCAGTAAAATCAAGAAAAAAAAATTGACTCTTCACTTGTGCAGTCAGAGCTCTTTGGTTGTTTTCTTATTCTCTGGGGAAACGAAAAATGGAATTGCTAAGATTCCTTAGGAATAGAGTAGATCACCAG